AGTAGTGGTATTTGTTTCGTGTGAGGCTGATGCGGCAGTCACATCATCAGTTGCAGTAGATTGCTGGGTAGCATTAGAGTCACGAGATGGAGTTGTGGTTGATTCTTCACTGACAGTATTTGCGGGGCTCGGCTGAGAAGTGGTGTCGTTTTCGTTGGAGCTTTCTGTGGCAGTGGGAACTGCAGCTGCAGGAGATTGCTCTGTAGGATTAGAGTTGCCAGGTGTATTGATATCCCCTGTGTTATTAGACGATTCTTGGTTACCTTGTGTAGGTTTATTTTGCTCTTTAGGTACGGCTGAATGAACTTCCTGAGTTTGGCTCTCTGTTGTTTTTGTGGTTGTTCCCGAACTATGATCTCCTGACAATGGACGTTCTGCACCAAATGGTTTAGTTATTTCAGCAACATGTGTCGTTGTTGGTTTTTCTGTGCGCGGAGAAGCATGACTCGTAGCACCGTCTTGAGCAGAATTAATCGATGGATCGTTGTTAGGTTGTTGATCTGTTCGTGTTAAAGGCTGAACTCTGCTTTCACCTTTTGTAGAGCCGGATAGATCTCTGTTTTCTGAAAGTATTCCTGAAGATCCATTTGGTTGTCCTTTTGGTTCTACCTTCAGTAATGTAGTTGCTTCATCATCAAGTGAACCACTGGTAGAAAGGTGAGATGAGCCCTCCCCACGCAAAACAACTGATTCAGGAACTTGGCTCTCTTGGGTGGACCGCTCCAACTCCGTTTCACGCCTACTTTCTTGTGTTTTCACAGCTTCTTCCAGTGCCTCACTTTCCCGTTGCTGTTTTAGTGCGTCTTGATTCTTCTTTTCCATTTTTTTTGCCTTTTGCTGATCACGATACGCCTTCACTGAAAGAGGAAAATCACTCCAACCAGACCATAAATCACTATCATTATAGAGAACGGCCATCACCGCCTTTGGTTGTCCAGCATTAGCAGCAGTAGTAGTAGCAGCAGCCGTCATGGTATACCCGCAGGCACAGCACAGCACAACGGCCAACACACACATCACACGGCGCATCATCATCATCATGAGAGAAAAAATAGTTTGGTTTACGTAAAAACACTGATCTAGAAAGAAAGACAATAAAAAAGCAAAGAAAGAAAATAAATGAAGTATCAAACATGTTAGGACACACAAATCCATTACCACTATGGAAACTCACATCGTGAAAGTAAAAAACCTACCAGTTAAAGTATGCAATACAGCGCAATAACCTCAGTAAGAGTAAAAACAAAAACAAAGCCCACACTCACAAATATCTCAAAAAAGACTGAACCACCCAGCAAAACAAACAAGCAAATAAACAGAGATTAACCATTAGCCCAATTTATCCAGTAAACACAGAAATACACCCCAACTATGGGTGTAAGTCTATATGTGTATATACGCAATTATAAATATAAATTTATCTGCTATTATTATTTCTTTACTTTCCACTGCAAAAAACAGTTCATCGTCATCATCACAGTGCAAAGCCCATGTGCACACACACAGAGAGTCTCCAAGAACACACACACACACAATGGAGTAGCAATAATAATTATAGGATAAACACAGAGAGAGCAAAAACACACACAAAACACATTAACATTAAGATAACAAAAAAAGAAGAAAAAGTCCCAACAGGTGGAAGATTAGTTAGACTATAGGGATGTATGCAAAAAAAGAAAAAGAAAAAAAAGGATGATCTGAGTCACACCACCACACCATCACTAGCACAATCAGCACACAAGAATACAGGCCAGTGTAACCACAATCAGTAGTGGTACACGCACCCACACAGAACTGCTGATACTACTGCTGCTGTCTGCATCACCCCTCAAATTGGGCATTATGGTGTTATTGCTGAATCCAGGGATTGTAGGAATTGTATTGGTGGTGGTGGTGTTGGTGGTAGGTGAGGTTGATTCCTCGTTACTGGTGGTATTGAGAGTGACAGAGGTCGTGTTCGCTGTGGTGTTCCCTTCTGCTGATGCACCCACAGTATTGACACCATTTGATGATTCATTCTCTGTAGTTGTCACATTATCAGTGGTACTGTTGGGCTCTTTGCCCGTATTATTTATTGTGTTTGAATCATCAATAGATAGACCAGATTTAATTATTTCACTAGGTGATGCATCTGTAGTAGGATGTGGTTTTGAGTCAGCAGTAACATGGGAGTCTGTACTTGTTGTACCTGTGGTATTTGTTTCTGTATTGGGGTTATCTTGTTGATGACCTTGTGTGGTTTCCTTTATCGGTTCTTGTTGACCCTCAGAACCAATCAGAACTGACTCACTGGGTAGCGGTTGCTTCTGTGTATTCTTTGCTTGCTTTGTCACCACATCCGTTTGATCGCCACTGTGATCTTTTACAGGAGAAACAGGAGATAGGACAGTTTCTGGTTTACTTTTATTCCCACGACCATGGCCTTGTGAACTGTCGCCCAATTCTCCTTCCACCACTTTTGCCATCTTGACCTCTTTCTTCTCAGTAACAACAATACCATTATCACCTTTAGTAATACCCTTAGATTCGTCAGTATGTTTCTCATGTTTATTAGTTGCAGGAGGCACAACACGTTGACCAGCATCAACTCCTGGCTGACTAATACCACCATTAAGTTGAGGTGAAAGAGGCATACCATAAGAATCATGAGAACCGACAGCACCAGCAGGACCAGGAACAGCAGGTTTAACTGCAGGAGCAGGTTTATGCTGAGGATGTAACTGAGGGGGAATTGTCTTTGGGAAACCTTTAGCACCAGGAACAGGACCAACCATACCAGGAACACCACCAGGACAAGACACACCAGGATTAGCACAAGGATCTCGATGAGCAGCAAAGGTCGAGTGAGGCCCATGTTGTGCGGCAAGAGAACCAACAGGAGACTGAAGAGGAGATCTACCAGCACCATGAGAACCACCAGGAAGACGAGGATGAGGAGGATTAACACCTCCAGGAATACCAGGATTACGAGAAACAGCACCAGGCACAGCAGGCTGAAGAATTCCCCCAGGACCACCAGGAAATGGAGGCTGCATATTATCATAACTAGCCATCACGCATCCACAGACACAGTACAGTATGAGAGCCAGTAAGCACAGCACGTGGCCCATCATCTTCTTCATAGACATAATAGTGGTAGTGGGTTCTGCTTAAAAACACTCAACTACAAAGAAACAAAAATACGAGAGATTTAAAAAAGCTCACAATTTAAAAAAAAACACAAGCGTGTAAAAGTAGTTAAGCACAAAGAACGTCAACAGTATAGAAAACAAAAACAAAGCAATACAGTAAATTAAATCAGTAAAGGTAGAAACAAAAGGACATCAATATCATCACAGACTCCCGCAGTACAGCAAAGAATATCCCAACAAACCATAAGCAAACAAAGAAAACAGATATTAACCATTAGCCCAAATTATCCAGTAAACACAGAAATATACACCAACTATGGGTGTAAGTCTATATGTGTGTATACGCAATTATAAATATAAATTCATCTGTTATTATTTCTTTTTTCACTACAAAAAGCAGTTCATTATCATTAGAGTGCAAGCCCAGGCACAGAGAGAGTCTCCAAGACCACACACACACAATGGAGTAGCAATAATAATTATTATAGGATAAACACACAAAACACAAACACACAAAACACACATTAACATTAAGAAAAACAAAAAAAGAAGAAAGAAATCCAAACAGGTAGAAGATTAGTTAGACTGTAGGGATG